GACAGCTGCCCTGAGCCCAGTTATTCTTTGGGGGCCAAAGTATCATCCCCTTGAGCCTGCAACAATTTAGTAAGGAGCCCATGGCACTTTAATATTGCACCGGACTGGGCCCCTCCAACGTGTTCCCCTGTGACTTGCTGGGAGGAAGTGAGTTCAGGTCACTTCTTTCTGGCCAGCTAACAGGGAGCCGCGTGGGGAAGAGGAGGAAGCAGCACACAGGGAGAAGAGGTACTGAGGAAGCCTGGTGAGTCAGTCTCATCAACTTAGGTCAGTCAGCTCCCACTGGAGCCCAGGAAAGCCATCCTTCTGCAACAAAACTAAGGATACATGTAAATGGTTATTTATATAGATATGTACACATGTCAGTGTGGATATGAGGTTGTGCATATCTGTGTCTGCCTGTATGTATGTGTCTGCATATGCGTACCTGTGTGCATGTGTTCGTGTGTGTCTCTCTGTGTACCTGTTTGTATGTGTACCTGTGTATCACCGTATAAACAAGCCTAAATATCTTGATTCAAACATCCCTAGAGATGTAATATTTCTTTCCTTTCATAGAAAAAATTCTAAAGCTATTTCAAAATGTTAACCATCAGGAGGAAACCTACAAAAATATCCAAATATATCAAGACCTATTTACAGGAACAAGAATATGGAGAAAGGACTTTAACCGCTAAAGGACCAAACTTCTGGAATAAAAGGGAATCATGACATGTCACACATGTCCTGTGTCCTTAAGGGGTTAAAGGATCACTATAGTGTCAGGAAAACAAACTTGTTTTCCTGACACTATATAACCCTTAGGTCCCCCCACACCCTCGGTGCCCCCCTCCCGCTGGGCTGAAGGGGTTAAAATCCCTTCAGCTACTTACTTTAATCCAGCGCTGGTGACCACTCCTCACCCCGCCGATGTCAGCACCCGAGTGGAGCAGAATGTGCATGCGCGGCAAGAGCCGCGTGCGCATTCAAACTGCCCATAGGAAAGCATTACTCAATGGTTTCCTATGGACGTTCTGCATGCAGAATGCAATTTTCGCATCCAGCGTCGCAAAAGCGCCTCTAGCAGCTGTCAGGAAGACATCCACTAGAGGCTGGCTTAACCCTGCAGTGTAAACGTAGCCGTTTCTCTGAAACCGCTATGTTTACATCTGAAGGGTTAAAACCTGGGGGACCTGGCACCCAGACCACTTCATTGAGCTGAAGTGGTCTGGGTGACTATAGTGTCCTTTTTAAGGCATATTTATTGGTTCTTAAAAATCACAATATTAAATACAGATGGGGATATCCTAATAAAATGAGATTGTTCTGCAAGGACTCTATGCAAAAGTTTGAACAGGTCAATAATCTAAAAGAATGGATGATTAAAAAGGAGATTATTTGAATTGGAACCATTCAAAAGGGCTAAAGGAAAGGAAAAGAAAGCATACGAAAATCAACAGAAAGCAAAGAAACAAAAGAAGCAAAGGAAACGAAATTTGGAAGAAATTGATCAACATAGTAACTAAGAAGAAGAAGAAGCAAAATCAATTTAAAGGATCACTATAGGGTCAGGAACACAAACATGTATTCCTGACCCTATAGTGTTTAACCCATCATTTAGGTTTCTTGCCCCCCCTTAGTCCCACTCTAAAAGTTTAAAACTCACCTTATTTCCAGCGCCGCATGGATCTGTCTGCGCTGGCTCCGCCCCCTTTGTGACATCAGCAAAATGCCAGATTTTTAGCCAATCCAATGCTTTACCAATAGGGAAGTGAATTATAATTTTTTCCCCTTATCACTTATTTTATATACCACATACTATTATAGACTTAACACTATACACAATTATACCCAGACAAATCATAATCTTACATCATTAATATGTTACACATTACACTATAGTTTTACATCACTTTTACCTATATTTTCTTACAATTTACACATTTTCAGTTGGCACATTATATATGCAATCACTTTTTGTTTAATATTTATATTTTACACATTATTACAGGTTTTACATTACACCACAATAATCTGACATAATTTACACTCACGCACACATTACACAATACACATCACATTAGAGGTGTTTATTACATTTTACCCCTATTCTACTACAATTCACACATATAACACATTTTTTAGCTATGTTTTTTATTTATTTATTTTTTTACTTTTTTAATATATTGGCTCCACATTCCTCCATATGCCTTATAATAAAGGCAGAGGATTTTGCTCAGAAAGAGATTAAATGTTCTTCTTTTAGAGAGTGAATATACATATTTCCCTTCTCACAACAGAAGGTTTTAATATGTTTAAATGTATATATGTTTTTTTTTTGTATGTAAATGAATGAAAAAATGAATCAGGTGTTAAGTAATAAGTTGCTGAGGAATTGGGAAAAATAAAACAAAAATGGTTAAAATAATATCAGTGAACTTACAGGGTTTAAATTCTCAATATAAGAGATCGACTGTTCATAGATTTTTAAAGAAAGATGTGGATTTGGCTTTCTTACAGAAGAAACTGGAGAATTGATGACAATTTTTTTTAAAAAAAACAAAGATTTTCCCTTTATAATACATGCTTCTAATAAGAAAAAACAAACAAAAAGGTGTAGCTATTATAATAGCAAAGTCAATAAACTTTGAAATTATTCACCAGATTTTAGATCCTATGGGACGTTATGATAATTGTTTGTAAAATAAATGAAGAGGTATGTACATTGATACATATACATCTTCCTAATGTATCACCAGCCTGTCTCCTGAGGAAAATATTGGATATTGCAGATAAGGTTAAGAAATGTCTACTTATGGTAGCAGGAGATTGTAATTCTGTTTTAGATGTAGATTAAGATAACAATTTTTTAAAATCTACTTTAATAAATAACAAAAAACTAAAAAAGCAAGCAGCGAATCTAACCTCTACCTTAAGTAAACACAATTTATAAGACTTATGGAGAATTTTTCATCCTGATGAGAAAAATTTACATATCTCTCCAAAGTGCATATGTCATATTCTTGGATTGACTTGATGTGTGGGAATCAATCTTTACTAAATAGAACTTCCAAAATAAATATATTAACCAACACATGGTCGGACCACAGTATACTCATACTAGATTTAAAAGACGCATTTAAATATAATACCAGTACCCCCGGGAGATTAAATGAATATATATATTTAATATAAAAGAAAATAAAAATTATATTTCAAATGTAATTGGTTTGTATTTCAAAGAAAATAACTCACAAGATACATCCATAGCTAATAATTGGTGTGACTTTAAGGCTGTTATTAGAGGCCATTTAATCAAGCTAGAACACGAATGTAATAAAAAAAAAAAAACAAGGTAATAACTTGACCGACTTATATATAATTTTTTTCAAATCTGTCTAATGAAAAAAAAGAAAAGAATCCGACAAATCAAATTTACATAGAGATGTTAAAAATACAAGGACAAATTAATCTGAAATTAGAACAAAAATCAATTTGTGCACTGAAAAAAATTAAAATGAAATTCTATGCTAAAGGAAATAGAGCGGACAAATTATTATCTGATAGACTTAAAAAACAAGAGTCCAAATCAAAGATATCTAAATTTATAATAAATAACAAAACTCTACTATCCCCCGGAAACTATAGGTAAAGCTTTCAATAATTATTATGAAGAGTTATATAATCTAAATAACTATTCCCAAGAATCAGATATAGATAAATATCTCCAAAAAATAAAATTTTTAAATCTTACACAAAAAAAATAAATTAAACTTACCTATATCTACTGACGCAGTAGATCAAAATATATCTTAAAATTCTAAAAAAAAATCTCCAGGGCCTGATGGTCTAAGTAATCTTTTTTTTATAAATTTTTCAAATCAAATCTTGTATCTCAATTAAAAGCTACATTCAATGGTATAGTAGACCAAAAATACTTTCCTTCACAACTAACAAAAGCTAATATAATTCTAATTTTGAAACCTAACAAAAATTCTTCTCAAATCCAAAACTATATGCCAATATCTCTCTTGAATACGGATATTAAATTATTTGCATCTATTCTCGCTGAAAGATTAAAACAAGTGTTAAATGATCTAACAGATCCAGATCAAAAAGGTTTTGTCCCCAATAGATTCTCAGGTTCGAATGTCTCGATCTATTGGAGAGATAAGGCATTACCCTCCTGACCCTCTCGATTGATGCTGAAAAAGTGTTCAACAGGGTCAGGTGGGGATTTATAAGGAAATCTTTGCAAACTTTTGGTATTCAGGACTGGATGCTCCAAGCAATAATGTCTATGTATCATACTCCATCAGCAATAACAGTTGGTCATGGTATTCTTTCTGAATGGTTCCCTATAAAAAACGGTACCAGGCAGGGTTGCCCACTCTCGCCCATTTTATCAATAGAACCGTTTGCAATGAGAATTAGAAGTAATCAAATTATGAAAGGAGTTTGTATTAAACAAAAACTATTTAAAATCAGTCTATATGCTAATAACAATAACAAACCCACAGAAATCATTAGCAAATTTATTGGAAGAATTCAACAATTTAGTAACATCTCCAATTATAAAGTTAATATAGAAAAATCTATGATTCTCCCTACAAAGATAGATTGAGATAAACTAAAAATATTAAAACGCTTATATCATTTCAGTTGGGTCAAACATAGTTTTGTATATTTGGGAGTTAAAATCACAAAAAATATAGATAGATTAATGGAAGTATACTACATGGAAACCTAAAATCAACAAACCATTCTATTACAAACTGGAGGAAGGTTGAATTATCATGGTGGGGTCGTATAAATGTAATAAATAGTTATATTGGGGGGCGGAGTCTGACCGGCAAGCCGAACAGCCGCATGTTCACAGGGCTCCCACTATTCCAGGGGATTTCTTGAGGAAAATTGACTTTGCTGAGCTAATAAAGCACCACATAGGTCACCCCAAGCTAGGGAGCTCTGGTGTATCCCCAGATACCTCACCCGAGAGATTTCAGGGTCGGGGGCCCGAGATGTTACACCGCAGCAGGTGGACAGCTGAGAGGGGGAGAGACGGCCGCTCTCTTCGGCCTGCCAGTGACGGGGCAGATTCATTGGGGTCCTACCCCCCACACCCCCAGGGACTGGCAGGGGTGATCCTGGTCCACCCCAGGGAGGCAACCCTGCTCCTCAAGCCAAATAAGCAGTTACCGTTCAAACAGCAGACAGCCACAGACACACAGAAAATGGCGGACGCCACGCACTCACGCACATCCTGGGACCTCGAAGCCAGGCTGGACAGCTTGTTTAATGCCTTCTGGAGAAAGCTGGAACTCAGACAGCGGCAGGTACGGTTGCCAAAAGTTACAAAAAACTTACCTCACAAGCTACCATCACAAGCACGCGGCAAGCTCATGGCACCTAAGATACAGGTGGATCAAAAATGGGGGATCAAAAGACCCAGTTTACTAAGACAGCGAGCCGCCTATCGGAACCCTGCCAGGCATCCCGGCAAGAGAATGGCAGAGAACGATACAACAAGAAACCTGCCACAACCAGACCAGGCCACAACAAAGCCCAATGCACAGCTCATACCGGAGCACGAGGCCACACCGGAGAAGCCTGCAAATCTCTGCAAATTTACCTTCCCTCTGCAACATGCATGCGGGACCCTACTCGGAGGGGCAACAGAGACTTTCGGGGCATGAAAGTGGAGCACCCCTGAGAGGCATTGGCTAACCTCAGAAATGCGCACAAGAACTGAGTAACAACTGTTTAACGTTACTGGCATGTTTTCTTTATTTTGTTCTCATAGAGAGACTTTAGCCTGATTTACCTGGGGAGCCCTCCCGGGGGGGATTTCTATTGGATACAGTGCCCAAACTGATCATCTTTTTATCATATTAGTCTAAGCCCAACCAGCACTGTCTACACCATATTTACAACCAGCCTGAATGTTATTCTATCAAAAGTGCACTGTCTCTAAAAATAGCCTGTTATTGTTCATAATGCAAGTAGTTAGTCCCATGACGTAACTAAATAAGCCTGTTTATACTGCCTACACAGTAAACAAAATTTGCCGTTAACTCAATGCCATGCCTGCAAATAATTGTGATAATGCCGTACTTAACTAAACTGTCATGGCATTGACGAATGTCTTTAGCTAGTTAGGCAATGGTTAATCTTCCCTAATTACTACTATACACATTGGAATCATAGTATGTTTATCATCTTAAGTTTGGCGACCCCACAGTGACCCAACGCAGTAGACATGAACAGCTAGCCTGTACTTAGTATGTTTATAAACCTAAAAGTGTTCCTAGCCTGTTTTATCTAAAAAAAAAAAAATGTGCTGTTAACCTATGCCATGACTATGTATGCCACTGAAATGCCTGTGACCGCTCGAGGTGCTACAGGTTTCTCTGTTATGTAATTAAATGCACAAGAAAAATAAAGTATAAAAAAAAAAAAAATTGTTATATTATTCCTAAAAAGACATATGTTTCAAATGATACCCCTTTCGGTTTCTAATCCTTGGCTTTTAATGTTACAATTTAGTATATCAAATTTTATATGGAAAGCAAAGCCTCCTAGGATTAACCATAAGATTTTATCTATGCCTAAGAAAAAAGGAGGTTTAGGATTCCCAAATATTAAAAATTTATATCAAGCTAGTGTTTTGACCCACTTATATTGTCTACAGTCTTATTCTCCAGAATTTGAAGCATGGCAAGACATTGAAATGTTTGACAGGGTATCAAGATTTATTTTTAATTATATTGAATGTTAATGAAAAACAATTAATTTGCTCCTTAAAACAGCAAAGTACAGTTTTAACTCAATTAATACAAGCTTGGGTAACCATAAAAAAAACAAATGCAAATTAAGTCAAAACTACTACCAATAAATAAAATGGGAATTATGGAGGTAGCTACAGAAGATTTGCATTTGACCCTTTGGAAATAAAATAATATTTTTAACATATTTCATTCGATAAATAATGTTTCCCTAAAATCATTTCCCGTTTTGATGGAGGAATTTAATCCTCCTAATTCGAAAATCTTCAATCACCTTAGAGTGAAAAATATTTTAAATATCTGATTTACCATGATTCCGTTATAATATTAAATATTTCTAAAATATTTAATCACTCAAAAATCTGAGCAATTTTGTCATAAACTATACAATTGATTTACAAAATCTTAACAAGTAAGTATACAAAAATACCTGTTAAATCTAAATGGGGGAAAAAAAGATTTGAAATTAAATATTGAACAAGAGGAATGCAATAAAACATTAACTAGCTCTACACCATTTGTTCATTGTTTAAATCTTTTGGAGATGCATTACAAAATTATTAACAGATGGTATTGGGTCCCCCAAAAATTTGTAAAAATTTCCCCTTCTGAGTCTGATTTATGTTGAAAATGCAACATGCAAAAAGGTACCTACTTACACATATGGTGGGAATGTGATAGGCTTAAAGATGTTTGGAATAAATCATCCCACTGGTTCACCAAAATATCTAACCTTAACATAAACTGGTCTCCAACAGAAGTTTTACTACATCTTAATTGGCCAATTATGCCCTTGAAAGATAACATGTTGTTTACCCACATGCTACTAGCAATTTAATTATTACACAAAATTGGAAATCCACAAAAAAAAAAAAAATTGATATATGGGAACAATGGTTAACAAGAATAAAAGACAATTTATAACCTGATTACCCTAAGCAAAAACATTCACTTTGATAATAATCTTACTGAATATTTGGACCTCATATTCCTTGGCAGTAATAACACATTTTCTTTGTTTGTATTGTTTTTTTGTTTTTGTTTTTTAATTTTTTTTTTTTTATCTATGTATGCTATGAAATTGGTATGTACTATAAAAACCAAATAAGAAGAAATGTGATGGGGCGTGACCAGGCCACCGAGCAGACTGGTCACACTAAACGGGAGCTCAGAGTGAAAAAACGCTATTAATCTCACAAATTGAGGAAAACCACAACGAAACTACGCTTGTTATTGCAGAAGAATATCGGTGGTACCCGAGCCTCAACCTGAGGGGTTTTAGAAATCTGCAGAGCAACCTCAACGTGGCGGCGAATTGAGGCCTACTAGCAGATGCAGGCATGGGAGACGCGGCCGATCTCCCTGTAGGCTGTCCTGCTGGAATAAGCTAAGGTGACCAGGTCACCCGTTATCCTCCCCCGGACCGGTGGGGTTATTCCGGCATAACCATACAGCTCTACTTACCCGCAGAGAGGGGAACAGAGTATCTCACCCATTCCTGCTGATTAGACATGGCTAAGAGACAAAAACCAAGATGGCGGATGAAGGGTCTACTACAGAAGCACGAGGCCTGCTGGAAATGTTTGAAGAGCATCTGGATGCCCACTTCCAAGACTTCTGGCGAAAACTATGGAGCACAGGAGCGCAAAATACGAGAAAGTGTCAGGGACCTGATCAGCGGCACTCATCTCCCAACCCTCCACACCTCATACCTGACAAGCCGGTGGAGACCACCAACAGCTCTTAAATAAGCTTCTACATCGGTGAAGCCGAAGAGGAAGCAGTCTCGTCCAGAGGTTGTCACCCACCCTGATTCGTCCAACACCCACTATTGCCTTCCTAGACTGAGGGTACGGGTGCATAACCCACTTACTTGGAAGGAGAGAGCCAAAGCTCAATCGGAAACAACGCCTCCCCAAGATGTTGCTCGCAGTGTCGAGAGAGACTGGAGCAGTGGGACCAGCACATGGCTCTTATGGTAGCCTGGGGCCGGCAGAGTGGCCTGCATTGGACTGGTAGGACGCTATCTTTACACATGGCTCTCATGGTCAGCATGGGTATCGGGTGAAGTACAGCAACAGGGGATGGGGGAGACAGATGTGGAGCCGACAATGAATAAGCTGCAAATGTCACTTTGACTAGCATGCTCCTTCAAACACTCCACCTTGGTTCCCCACAATCATAGAATTTTACTTCTATCTGATGTTATTAAGTAGATGCCTGACTTCTGTTTAGTGTTAGCCTAGCATATTCCTACCTCGCACACAGCCATACTGACACCTAGCATTATGTCAGCCTAGACACTTAACCACTAGCACACAAGTAGGCTGCATGGCCGACAGGCTTACTCTCCTATACTTAATCGATAATGCTTGATCGTAACTAGAACATGTTTTTTCACCTACTTACCTCAAAAGGTCAGTATGTTTATTCTGAAAATAACTTGTCTGCCTTATTTCTTAGCTGACATGATGGTTTCACTCTTGATAAATCTCCACTATAACATACAATGTGCAATGTTCTGATATGCCATACAACTGTCTCTAAATGTTGAAAGTTACGCTGGCAATAGCTGTTGTGGCATTGCTTGCCTCTTTGTACTTTTTTGTGCACGAAAAAATAAAGAATTTTAAAAATTTTAAAAAGAAAAGAAATGTGATTAAAAAGTGTGTCATTCCTGTCCATAGTGTGCCGTGATTGAACTGCGGTGTTTGGTAGCATAATGGTATGTTTCTTGGTACTCCCACTTTATTTCAAAAGGTATCGCATACAAAAGGAATAATCGGAACGGACACAATCCACCTGATTTAACAAGTAGGGTCAGCTGCATAAGGTAGCTAATAGTCTGATATTGCCTCTGTAAATTAACCTTTTCCCCGGATCCACTTAGTGATCCTATAATCTGTCTCTCTCAACAGAGAGGCAAAGGAGGAGAGAAAAGAGGGAAGGGGAGAACGGACGGGAAGATAAACAGCCCCTTTACTAGTGGACTACAATGAAGAGGGAAAAACTCTCATTATAAAGGTGGCCGTTCTAAATTTAAGGGCACCTCTTTAATAGTAGGTGTGTCCGTGCCGTCAAGATAATGTATTAATATCCGGACGCCTAACCGGTAGATGTGTCTTAAGATGGACCACGGGGGTAATAACCGGGATGATACAAACCAATATGCTCAGAACTGTGTGATAGAAATGTAAAAATAAAAAAACGTTGTTACATATATATTAACATATTTACAACAGTAAGTATATACTGTACTACAAGTATGTCAAACTCGCAGCCCACATCTTTGCGGCCCGAATACATGCTTAGTGTTATAGCAGAGTAGGCACCTGCTTTCCCCACATTGCAGGTGCCTACTCTGCTAAAACTTACCCGGCAAGGGAGGATGGCCAGCGAGGGACCTCAGTGTTCCTGCTCATATTCCGGCATCACTAAACCGTGCAATGGAGCAGTGAGGAGCAGATAGAAGATCCCCACTGGACCCCAGGGAGAGGCCTCACATCGACTCCCAAAGGTAGGGAGCAATAAAGAAAATGATGTGTGTGCAACAATGTGTAAGTGTGTGTGTTGGTCAGTGTTGAATTGGCTACGACTGGACAGTGGAGTACCTGGAGGTGCATGGAGGCACGCAACGCCACGTCACATTCTGATGTGACATCGATGTGCTCCACCTTCACAGGGTTTCAAGAAGTAGCAGGAGGATCAGATTTGGCACAGGGTGCGGACGGCTCCATTTGGGGTGTACCGGAGTCCAGACTCCGGAGTCGCGGCAATGTGAGTGGAATCTGCTTGTTGGCTAGAGGTGGGTGCTGGGATTTAGTAGAGGGGGGTGCTGCGGTTTAGTAGTACTTTTCAAAATAAACCTACGTTAAACCTTGTTTATGTGGCCCATGCTAGACTTTGAGTTT